CCCTTTCCTTGTTACTTGCCTTTATTCATATGTACTATCTTTTCTTCCTTGTGCTGCATCTCAATATCTTCAATATCTGGGTGCTGCAATTTTCTTCTCCACTATCCATTAAAAAAAAAATCAGTTTGCCCTTTTGACTGATGGAATGTGGGTAAATTAGCTTAGCAAGTGAAATGGAACTTTGCTTTTCTTCCCTTTACCAAAAAATGACAAAGATCACATTACTCATAAGAAAGAGTAGTCTTATATATACTTAAAAACCTAAGGTGAATTGCAAAAAATGTTTTTTAAAATACAAGTAACCCACAAAAATAAGCCATGTTAAGTATCTACACTAACTTACTATGTAAGAAGGGCATTGATGTGAAAACTGCATTTCTAAATATCCACTGTGCCATTTCCCCTGTTAACTTCCAAGGAACTAAACGCTTTATTATATACAGACAGAGGGAACAACAATGGGGTACAATTTAGCCCCAGCAGAGAATCATAGAACAATGTATTTACTTATTACTTTTATAGTTTTTAGTATACAGACAATATTGAAATAGAACAACCCAACTTTGTCATTCCTAGACATCAAAATGTATCTCAGTGAAGCTCTGGGATTGGGTCTGGGTATAATATCATACCTCCATCATGTAATCTGTGTGGAGATACATTGTTAAAAAATTTTTCAAAAACATAAACAATTGGCCCTGCTAAAATCATTTCTATTTCCTTTTTTGTGAAAGAATCATGTAAGGGGCTCCTGTTCAAAATTTCGTACTGTACTTGGATCAACATTAGTTCGTCAAAACTAGCTTGGCAGTGCCAGTTGTTTCTTTTTTGTAAGATAATCTTATTTACATTTTTCGGAAACTCAAACCATGGAGATGCTTACAAATCTTATCAACTTTATGAGTCAAAAATTCACTTGAACCCATATATGTTACTGTCTATTTAGTCACAATAGTTACATGGAATGTGAATGAGTGACTTCTGGGGGTGCTGCTTTTGTGGTTGCGCACGCCGAGGGGAACCTGATTGTAGAGTTGCATGTGTTGGAAGTAAGCTGTTGTGGGTTAGAACAAATTCTACTGTTGTTTAGGTAGAGAAACTGCATGTAGAGAGAGATAAGTAAAGAAAATATGCACAATAAAAAGATACGAATAGTTAAGAACAGAAAAATAAGGTGCTTAGGGGAAAAGGGTTGTTTAAGGGTAGGGGCATATTTTTCCAATATAAAAGATAAGTTAAAATGTTTTTTACTTTATGAAGGAATAGACCAAGACTACATGGTAAAAGAAATCCTCATGGGTTGTGTCCATTTTGCTACATTCTTATATCTTGCTGATTAATATTATACTGGATTTCATCTCCGAAACATCCGTCATAACCTGACTGAGAATTCCCCTGCCACTAACTCTGAAAATTACAGCTAATATTATTTATATATGGCAGGGGGGAAAAAAACCAATATAACGTTTTCCTGACAAAAGGATATAAACATATATACTTTGTTAGTGATTAAATAAACTCCCTGGGATGTTTTCAACAGATCATCATAATTCTACTTCATGACATCTGCAACCTACATGGAATTTCGAAGCACATGTCATAGTTTAAATCCAGAATATTTTATTGTTTTAATAAAAGCAGAGAGTGGTAGAAATCTCTCAATCTGGAAAACCAAGTAGATATAAAAAATTGCCCCCACCTTTGAATTGTCACTAGTATGGGATCAAAATATTGTGCAATCAGGTGGGACAGCTTCAGCATTCATTTTCCTTTTGATCTTAAAACATTAACTCTAGAGCCAGATGTCTGGCATTTTATGAATTTGGAAAAGAGTCAGGTCTCCATGCAAACACCTGCTTTTTTTATATGGGATAAATAGAACAAACAAGAGGCTGCGCAAAAAGTTGCTGTGTGCACACCAAGGTGCTACTGGTATTTAATTGGAGGACAGAATATCACAAACATTTCGGACATTCCCTTTCTCAATGAATCATCTCCCTCCCACCTTATAACACACTCATCCTTTTTATACATGAAAAAAACAGTGATTAAGTCCAAAGCCACCCCCTCTCTGTAATTAGTAAAGGATTGGAGTGCTGGGGCCTCCGTTTTGCCGCATTTCCCAGCATGCCACGGGCGTCACGTCGTGCGTGATGATGTCACGTGATGTACTTTTTCTGGAACCTCTGTCCAGATCCTCATATCTTTTCTTTGTTTTGCTTTTTTTATATGAGTTGAGGAGTAGACAATTAGATACTATGTTTTTATTATCATTATTTCTATAAGTCACATTGTTGAGTCAAATGTAAAAACACAACTCCGTCAAATGACTATTCCCTGTGATTATCCCACTAAGCAGCTAACTAATCCAAGACTTTGTCTCCATCATAAGAAAGGAAAACCTGATTGATGCTGTTTAGAATTTTCCATGCTATGATTTTCAAAGTGAATATTTTTGCAAACATATATATTTTTTTAAATTTAATATGCTGTTTACTTTAGAAATATGCCTTCAGCAGCAAAGTCTAGTTATTTCAACACTCGAACAGCAGTTTGTATACTGTTATAGTGTAAATTTAAATTTTTATATAGGAAATATGAAAAAAACACAATTAACTGCATCAAGATGAGTTGAAAGTACAGGAATAAAACGGTTACTAGGAGACCAGCATCAATGCCAGGATACATCAGCAAGTGGGTGTAAAAACCATTAGTGCTAGGGAATGTCACCGACAGCAGGTGACCTCATTGTGACAGGGAAAAGCAGTGGAGGGGTTGGAGGGAGGAATTGAGACACATGTGGGGCTGGGGAATAAGACATGTGGGGGAGTAGAGATGTGTGGAAGGTCTGGGCTAGGCACAAAGCAACATAGAGGAGTTAGGGGAAAAAGAAACAAGGTGCTGTGGGAAGAGATACACAAATGGGGCTGTGGAGAAAAAGAGGCACACAGAGGAGCTGGGGGGGTGGGGAGGGGAGGCAAAGAGCCACAGAGGGGCAGGGGAAGGGGCAAAAGAGACAAGACCTTGATAGATAGATAGACTTTTTATTTTATTTTTTTTGGAGAATGGCTGCCTTATTTGTTTGAAAAGATCATACTTGAGAGAATTAATTATTAGACGACTATGAAATTAGTATAACTAAATATTTTAAAATGACCAGTTGATAATCATTTAAAGTATATCTGTATAGTGCTAAGTGATGCTTGAAATCCATTTTTCTATGATTCATTTTAATGTTCTTAGTAATTACTCAGCTCTTAATATCTAACTTTGTGGAGTTTAAAACCAGCCCAGATTTGTCCAAATTACATTTCTGTCATTGTGTGACCCAAGGTTAAGTCCCATAACATTCTAAGCCATTAGTAAACAGGAAATTAAGACGCTTATCATTTCTATCTAATGCTTGGTACTGTTATAATTAGAAATGCGGATATTGGTTTCAAATACATATTGCCATAAAGCAACCTGTATACTTAGATAGAAAGTGATTCACCGCAATGCCATTTAGATCTGTTTAATATTCACTGCGTCAACTGAAAATCGTTGAACTCTGTGCATCCTCTATTCATTATCCAGTGTTGACTCTTTATAGAGAGATAGATTCTGAAATCAGTGATCAGCAGATTTAAGGGTCTCTACATTTTCTAATCTAAGTGCAGAAGAAAATATTTTTGGTCCTTCCATGCATTAATTGGTGCTAAAGGAAAATCATGGAGAAAAAATGAAATGAGGTCCGTTGCCATATGTCATTAGTGGGCTTTGTCACTTTTGATCTAGTTATCAGCTCAGGTCTATACTCATTCCAGCACAAACCTTAGCCACTGCTACCTAGCATTCTAATGATGTAATTCTAATGAGACAGAAACTATGCTTTGCTAGGACTCTGCTTACATTGCCACGGCAACAAGGTTGTGTAATGTAGGGAAGTACAAGGTACAAGGTAGTAACGTTTGTCCTGAAACAAGTACAAGCCTCAATTCCTTTGTAGTTAACTAGTTGGATGATAATTCTCAACTTCCAACATTTTAGTTGGTCAAAGAGGGACACTTTCATTTTAGGGATGTGAGTGTGGGGTTTAGCTACGGACGGGGCTCTTCCGAGAAATTTTAGGTGACTTACTAATAACATTTTTGAAACTAAAATGTAACTTCGAACAAGAAAATGTATCCATTTACACAGATTATACAGGATTCTCCTAGAATAGTGGGATGTTAGGATAATAAAGAGGGCATAGGTGTTTGCACTCAAATTCCAGGCCTCCCATTCGTCCCAATTTCACAGAACATTAACGTTGGGAAGTATGAAAAAGTATCACGTTTTGTCAGCCCCTCAGTCGACAGTGCATAGTGAAAATTCTTCGTCCAGCTTAAAGGACCACTATAGTGCCAGGAAAACATACTCGTTTTCCTCGCACCTTAGTGCCCTGAGGGTGCCCCCACCCTCAGGGTCCCCCTCCCGCCCGGCTCTGGAAAGGGGAAAGGGGTTAAAACTTACCTTTTCCCAGCACTGGGCGGGGAGCTCTCCTCCTCCGATCCTCCTCCGTTACGCCCCGCCGGCTGAATGCGCACGCGCGGCAAGAGCTGCGCGCGCATTCAGCCGGTCTCATAGGAAAGCATTTACAATGCTTTCCTATGGACGCTGGCGTACTCTCACTGTGAAAATCACAGTGAGAAGCACGCAAGCGCCTCTAGTGGCTGTCAATGAGACAGCCACTAGAGGCTTTGGGGGAAGGCTTAACCCATTAATAAACATAGCAGTTTCTCTGAAACTGCTATGTTTATTAAAAAATGGGTTAACCCTAGCTGGACCTGGCACCCAGACCACTTCATTAAGCTGAAGTGGTCTGGGTGCCTAGAGTGGTCCTTTAACACGTTTTCTAAATAACAGTGCAAAGACCAGGAGATACATTCACCAAACAGTGAATTATGGTGAATTCAATGGCAGCACATTGTTAAATCTAGCGTTCTCTTTATTTTCTGATTTAACAGTGCGCAACCTGCTTTATTTCAATTAGTTTTTGTTTATTTTACAATAAAAACGAATAAAACAGAACAGAGAGTAGATCAAAGAACACAGTGCACAGGTAGAGAATCATAGTAACACCAGTACACGTGAATGGACATATTGTGCTACTAACACATCAGGCTGGTTCATGAACAGGAACAATCCAGAGCAAAATACGTGCAGATCCCCTATGTGTAGGAGACCTTTCTAGGTACGTTAAAGGATTGTGGGCGTTTATGGTTTTCACAGGACAGTTAAATACTGTAATCTTCCTTTTCCTGCTTTAGGAATTAAAAGAAAAATTGCCTGCTTGTCTATTTTTTTTTTAAATTCTTTATTTTAGTAGTGCAGTTGGTCACAGTATTTCAACGAGCGCCACAACAGAGTATTTCAAGTTTCATACAAGTTAAACAGTGGCTTGATAATTTGCACAATTTTTATATTTAACATGCTTAACTAAACAGTTAATTTGTCCGAGTAAGATTGAGTGGATTAAAATAAAGTAAAGATGCTGGATGCTTAACATTGCTAGGTCGCCTATGATACATATGCACCATTTTATGTTTTATCATGAGTATAATAGTGGATCACAGGTTGGGTAGGTAGATGTTTTGAGTGCAATAATTAGCAAGGTTAACCTGTCAAGATATAAACCGGTATAACATTAGGTTCTATTCTAACCTGTATGCTAGGTAATAGACATATAGCAAACAGTGGGTTACATATCATGCTGGGCAGTCGTCTTGTATATGCAAAACATTACTATTTCTAAGATTGACAGTGACACTTTTATAGTTTGAATCTAAGGCTTTGCATTGCTATGTTAAAGTACACGCTACAAGTAGGATCACCAGGTCCCAGCAGATTCTCAAGCTCTGTGCGTGTCTCCGTGCCAGTCCAGGCGAAAACAATGGTAAGGGTCCTCAGCCTACTCCGCATGTCGGGATAGCTAGGTGGTCTGCCTCCAGGGACACAAGGTCAGAAAGTCGCGTCTGTCCCTGCCGTCCGATTCCCTTCGGTGGTATGCCGCTTGAGCCCGTCTATGTGCCTCTCGGTACTGCTGCGGTGTAAGTGCGAGTGGGGGCGTCCCTCCTGCCCCAGGCTATTATGTTGGCCGGCATTTCTGTGCCACAGCCCCGGTTGCTACAATAGTTCGGGTTTCGTCCTCGTGTGGAGGTTCCGGAGGGTCTGATGTCTGCCGCCGCTTGTGGCACTTGCCCCTCCGTTTGTGTGGGTAATGCCTCTGGGTTTGGACCCTCATGGCCTTCAGCCCTTTAGTGTGACAGTAGCTGAGTATGTTGGCGCTGTGCCCGAGGGTAGCCCATTCGCTTCGCGTTGCTCGCGGTCAAGCACTCCTTTTACCGAGAGCTCTTGGCCTACTGTCTGCTCCATCTGAGTCCGCTTCAGCAGCTTTTCCCAGAAACTCCTGAATATTTGATCCAAGCGATGCAGGGAGTCAGCGGTGGTGCAAGAATGGTGCTATTGGCTTGGTGGCAGGCTCTGTGTTTCAGGTAAGCAGGTAGCCACCATATTGTGTTTGCCACGAGGTAGAAGCTTTCCGGGGTTGTTGCTCAGCGTACAGGACTGGGGTGCGGCTGAATGCTCCAGACACTTGCTGTGGACCGGCATGACCCCCACCGATCCGGGGGGGGGTAGGATGTGATCTTGCTTTAGAGTCTGTTTTTGGGGCCGTGAACAGGAGGAACGGCCGTCCCCTCCCGCCTCGAACTCCCGTAGGCCTCAGTGGCTTGATCGTGGCACCCGGTTGTCGATCCGCTGATGTGTAGTATCAGGCTGGTCGCCCGGGTGTTCCCCTGCTTGTTAATATCTAACCAGGAGATGGACGTGCCGAGTTTTTGGGTTTTTCACCAAAACAATCGATTTGGGACAGAGGCTGGGACTCGGCACGTCTGCTCAGGCTGGCTGCTTGGCTCCCTGCTTGTCTATTTCATCAATTTTAATGTCTGTAGTTGAATTTTTTTGTCTGCTTATTTGATTGCAATTTTACAGTAAATCAAAGCAACTACAAGTGCTCCTGTATCTTAATTTCTTATGCCTACACTAATGGCAATCATATAGCCAAAAGATGGTGATACCCAGTAATATATAAGATGGTAATAGTTCAGACATACAACTTGCTATAAAAAAATAAGGGAATTGGGGCACACCTAGAACATAGAATGTGACGACCTTATCTTATGGTTAGGATAGCCTTATGCCTATCCCACGCATGCTTAAACTCCTTCACTGTGTGTATCTGCTCAGTGTGGTTGCCAGTGCTGTCAGTCTTTGCTTAGCTGTTTCCTGTATGGGCATATCCTCGTACTTCCACAGCAGCCACGATCTATCTTTGATCTATCCTCCTCTGTTAAGTTGATCCCAAAAAAAGGAAAGCCAGCCTAATAAAATATTAAAACATAACCTTTATAAAAGCTCAGTTGAGTCTAAAATAAGTGAAAATTAAAAAATAAAAGTACCAATGTAATCATTAGCACCCTAATTGAATGGATGTAAGCCTTCCTCTCACCAATACATGGTCGTTTGGTGTAATAATAATAATATAAGTAGCAGACAAATCAAGACTTGCAGTTTTTACACAAAACAAATAAAAAGTGTCCCAAATAATGACACACAATGTAAATGTGTATCAATTTGTATAAGAACCTGATGTAGGAGTAGCAGGGAATGGTAGAGACTCGCAGCAGGGAGAGGCAGTGAAGGAGAGAATCTGTCCTCTGAGTGCACCTAAACTAGACTAAACATCCTGATCCTGCTACAGTATACTGGATACAAAATTCCCTGCTATGTGCAAAAAGGAAGAAATGGCAGGTATAGATATAGAACAGAGTCCCCAGCCAGGGTCCATAGCATTGCAAACACTCCATGAGCTATGAAGAAAGCTGTTCAGACAAAGTAATGCATTCAGTAAGTGGTGATTAAATCATGGATTGACCTTATAAGAATAAAAAAATGAAAACCACCTAAATCTTCGATTTCCCAGTTGATAGCCACAGCAAGACTAATGAAGTTGAAGTTCATCAAGTATTTGTTCTTTATCTTTTCTTGTTATCCTCTAAATAACCAGTAAATATGTTACAGTTCTAAAATAAGTCTGAAAACACGGCCGACCTACTGTGTAATTTGGAGTCTGAAACCACAAAATTCTAAATTTAAATTTCAGCATTGCATACACAAATCTTTGAGGTTTTTTTTCACTTTTATATAATTTTGGTATATTTTCCATTAAACAAAGAAGATAGTTTCATGTAACATGATACAAGTTTAAATGGACACTGCATGCACTGTAACTATTTTATCTAACTGAATTGGTTATAGTGCCTGTCCACTTCTTCTTTAATTTTACTCTTATTTATACCATGGTCTAAAAAGGGACTGTAGGTGCAATACCTGCTTTATCTCTTTGAAGTGGTTATAGTGTCTGGAATCCCCTGACACTGTCCCTCCATTCAGGGTTAACAATTTTTGAGAATTTTAACACTGAATGATGGCTTCTAGTTTCCCATAGGCCCACCCCCACTGGAGGTGTGGCTAAACCAGAGATTAAACACTTCCTGGCAGCCATACCGATTCCTACCTGCAATAGCACTGTGATAGGCTAAATGCGGTCAGCTGGCACTCTCAGCCAATCACAACTGCCTATTGCTGCTCAGGCTAATACTTCCTCGTTAGCCCAAGCAGCACAAAGAGAATACGTTTCTAGGAACTCTTGTTTAGCATGAAAATATAAAAAATGGTTTAATGCTGGATGAAAGGACACAGCCAGAACACTCCCGACACTATAACCACTTTGATGAGATGAAGCAAGTAAAGTGATTAAGAATAAAGACTTGAGTAAACCCCTTTATATCATGGTATATATAAGAGTAGAATTAAAGAGGAGGTGAGCAGACTCTGGCTCAATAGAAGGTCTTGTAGCTCAATAATTGCAACCTATCATTGCTGTCTAAAGCTGGTCAAATTTATTTAAACATCTACTGCAGAGTGACAGGCACGGTGCCAGTCTATAGGTGCCAGGGGCGCCTGTTAATTTGTGTCAGTAACATAAATGGATTGGATTATTTTTGCTATTCATCCTTTTCTAAATGTATAAACAGATGTTAATTTATTCTACAGCGTACAGCACTAACTTCCAAAATCCACCCAGGCCTGATATCAAGTGCAAGTGACAATCGATTTTCAGGGCTGTCTGGTGACCCAGGATGCCACGGTAGGGAGTGGGTTTATATGTGGAAGGAAGTGATTACAGAGTCACACACCTGCATGAAACAATGTAGTCTGTCCTGTAATCTAATGGATGGGAAGCATGTCTGTAGTTCTAATGGGTGGGAAGTGTGTCCTATAGTTCTAATGGGTGGGAAGCCAGAAATGCTGACATAGCACTGCTATTAATGCTTTATCATTCATCTTTCTTTAAATAGCACTAATGTACAGTGTTGGGACAGTTTTTAAAACCATGCCAATCTGGTGCAGATGACGTAACTAAAAATGAGTTGGAGTCCCCTAGGAAAATCATTTGCTGAAGCTGCTTGACCACATTTTTATTTCAAAGATTTCGAGTAATATACACATATTATACAAATCCATACCGCTAACATTGCCAGGTTCATCGAGACAGTAATAGGTTTTGGCAGCCTGTCCTGCCGTCCTGTTTTTGCTCCTGGTGTCCCATATCTGGGTACACGAGTGACCAAGTCCCTCAAAGCATAGCACAAGCGTATCTTTAGACAAGGTCACACTGAGCAAAGTATACTGAGGGTATTCAGCCCTGTGCAGGACCGGACTGGGAATTAAAAAGAAGCACTGAAAATGTTTTATACCAGCCCTATCATTAATTGTGCCAGTGGGGACAGATACACAGGTATATATAGGAATGTATTGGTTTGGCTGAGATCTGCAAGGGGGGGAGGGGGGGGTGGCGGGGCCAAATGCTGCCCTAGCCAATCAGCATTTCCTCGTAGAGGTGCCTTGATTGAATGCATCTCTATGGGAAGAGTTCAACGTCTCCATGCAGAGCACTGCCCCAGGAAGGCCTCCCTGCTCACCCCTCTCACTCTCAGCCAGCAGCTCTTTTAAAAGGCCTCCCTGCTCACCCTTTAAACTCCCAGTCAACAGCTCTCTTAAAAGGCCTCCCTGCTCACCCCTCTCACTCCGACCCAGAAGCTCTCTGACAGGCCACCCTGCTCACCCATCTCACTCCCAGCCAGAAGCTCTCTGACAGGCTTCTCTGCTCACCCTTTTTACTCCCAGCCAGCAGCTCTCTGACAGGCCACCCTGCTCACCCCTCTCACTCCCAGCCAGCACCTCTCTGACAGGCCACCCTGCTTACCCTTCTTACTCCCAGCCAGCAGCTTTCTGACAGGCCTCCCCGTCTCACTCCCAGCCAGCAGCTCTCTGACAGGCCTCTCTGCTCACCCTTCTCACTCCCAGCCAGCAGCTCTGTGACATGCCTCCCTGCTCACCCTTCTCACTCCCAGCCAGCAGCTCTCTGACGGGCCTCCCTGCTCACCCTTCTCACTCCCAGCCAGCAGCTCTCTGACGGGCCTCCCTGCTCACCCTTCTCACTCCCAGCCAGCAGCTCTGTGACAGGCCTCCCTGCTCACCCTTCTCACTCCCAGCCAGCAGCTCTCTGACGGGCCTCCCTGCTCACCCTTCTCACTCCCAGCCAGCAGCTCTGTGACAGGCCTCCCTGCTCAATCCTTCTCGCTCCCAGCCAGAAGCTCTCTGACAGTACTTTACACACAGGAAGCAAAATGTCAAAAGACCCGCGTGGGCTGCCCGGCTGTGCCTGATTACCAGGTCACATGCTTCCTGGGTGTAAAAGCTGTCAGGCAGGGAGCAGGACTGCCATCCTCCCTGCGCTTTCTCTTTGCTCCTGTTGGATGCTGGTTGCCTGCTCGCGAGTGGATAAAGTACCATCTACAGGTGAGAGGGGACCTTCACTCCTCAGCCAAAACATGAGTGTATTTACTGGGTGGGAGGAGGGGCTGCACTGTGCGGCCCCATGTGCCCCGGCCCTGGGCAGCAACCTGTAACCGCGATATGTGCGTGTGCAATTCTGGGCTGGCGCACACACGCAGTGATTAATCAGCTCGGTCTGCATTCACACCATAAAGACAGGCCCCTTTTATGGATGAATCTACCCCCTTTGGGCACCTCCAGTAATACAATACCCATCACTGGCTTGCCCACTTTAGGACGACTTTACCCCTCTGCCCCGGTACCGCAACTCCCAATTGAAGTGAATAACATTGTTTATAGCATTACAATGGCACCTGTTAAGAGGTGGGATATTTTGGGTGTCACGAGTTCCAGGGTCTCTTAGTGTCCCTTGGTCACCGCTATTTTAATCCTCAGCTGCTACTGGATTTAGCTACAGCATACAGTGATTCTAGCCCTTTGGAACTCTGTAAAATTCCCCAATATAGTGGACAAGACCAGTTGTATTGGGTAAAACAAGGGAACTTTATTTCAGAGAAAAACACATGCATTTATCCCCCTACCCCATACCCCCTTCAGCCAGCACAATTCAAGCCACTCTCTGGTGTCTTCGTGTCTGGGACATGATAACTTAATTTCCTACTTGACACCAAGACACATAGCACAATAGCGTTTACATAATACAATTAACACAATAGCTTTCACCCAGCTCAACATTTTACATAATAACTCAACATTAACACAGTGTACCCCCATATCCTATATATATCATTTTAAGGTCTGTGACCAGGCCCATAGTCTGTGGGCAGGAGGCTAGCTATTATGCCACTACAGCAGGCTGTGACACGGGAGTTTTCGTGACATTAGGCCACAAAATGAACAGCCAGTTCTTGAATTTCATGTGTTGGAATCAGGAAAATGAGCAAAGGAAAAGAATAAAAACTACCACAACAAGAGGACATAGTCTTAAATTAGAGGGGCAAAGGTTTAAAAATAATATCAGGAAGTATTACTTTACTGAGAGGGTAGTGGATGCATGGA